CTAGAGAAGGCAATGAGTGTTATCACTATGTCGGAGACACGCTAGCTTTCCCAAGGCCCAAGGCAGAAGAGTGGTTACAATCATCCGGGTTTAAATCGCGCTCAAATTGATTTGATTTTGATGCAATATGCAATATGAAGCTCGCAGGCGGCTATGGTAAGGGGTGTGACATTTCCCAGTATGGATGCGTTGAAGATTGAGGAGATGGAGAAGATGTTGAAAGAGGCACAACTGGAGAAAGCTCGACTCATAGAGTCCAGAGTAAGTCATAATATCAGTATACAATCGATACAGTAACCATATTCAGCTTTTTTGCCTCCCAGCCTTGTCTAATAACATCTGCCCTCTTTTGGCTGCAGGAACGAGAGACTCAGACCCGTAAACTCATGCTAGAGGAGGAGAGAAGAAGAAGAGAGGAGGCGGAGAAGAGACTGCAGGAGGAGACGATACATAGACAGCAGCTGATAGAGAAGGAGGTGAAGATGAGGGCCAGAAACTTCTCTCAGGTGAGGAGTCGCAGATCTGTGCCGAAAGTCCATAGTGATTCTACTAGGACTGTCAATTTAATGGATTCATTTTGTACAAATATTTATGGGTTATGGTTCTTAAAGATGTACTCTTTGTATTCATGTAGGTTTCGTATGGTTATGAATTTTTTTATACCCTTTTAAAGAAAAGCTTTAAGCTTTTAAATTACAGTTTAATTTTATTCAAACATTTTTTTTTATTTAATTACATAGTCATTAGTCATTAGTTTTTTATTTAATTAGAAATTTAATTTTAATCATTTTCATTAGGAATTTAATTTAAACCTTGAAATATAGAAATATTTATTTTACCTTGATATATTATACAGTTGCGATCACAAGTTTGCACATGCTTTGTAGAACCTTTGCTTTGTAATATCGTCACACGCTTGAGGTATCCGGCCAATCACAACGCACCGGATAGCTGGCCAATCAGAGCACACCTCGCTTTTCAGACCGGTGAGCTTTGTAAAAATCGACGCGTTTCAGAAAGGCGGGGGGCATAGAGGAGAAACAATAATGTACAGTATGTGGAAAATAATTAGTTTTTTTTTTACCTTAAACCGCATAAACACATTTCATTACACCAAATACACAAAATAATGTTCTTTTTAGCAACATCATATGACCCCTTTAATGTCTGCATTTACATCTACAAGATGTATTTTTTCGATTTGTATTTTTTAGTTCATCTGCAATATGTCTCTAAGACGTTTCCTATCAGATGTTAAATAGATGTTTTGAAGATGTTTATGATTTAGAATGTATGTAAATCTGCTTTTTCTAAGACATTTATCAGATGTTTCTACAGATGTTTCCTCAATCAAGATCAAGTGCTCGGTTTTATGTTCTTACATAAATTAGGTTGTTGGTTTTTATGCCAAAAAATAATGTAAAATTATGGTATTCTGAAAAGATTTATGGAACCAGAAATATGACAAAACTATTTGAATTTGAATCGTGTAAATCTGAATTATAGTGTGAATTAACAAAACTAAATATTATGTGGCATTTTATAGTTAATTTTTTTTTTTTTTATATATATAGTTTAGTTTAATTACATTGAATAGTTTAATTATATTTGTGCACACATACCAGACATAGGTCAAAACATTGACAAATTTGGCTGAATTATAAAAGCCAGAGGGGGTACTAAATAAAGAGCCATTTGGGAGCCGAAAGAGCCGGTTCTTTTTGCTGAGCTGAGCCAAATGATCCGGATCCCTAAAAAGAGCTGGAATTCCCATCACTTTTACAATCTGAACTGTCAATAAAATTATCATGTCAAATAGTCATCATGAGGATCTGGTTTTTTTTTTTCTGTTTCTGCATGTTGGTTATACCACTTAATTGATTTGGCCGCCAAAAGTTTTTCAGACATTAATAAGCAGTAAAGTATTTTTTTTAATGATAAATAATAATAAATGATACAAACTACTTAAGGTTTTATTATGAATAATTTCATGAATTTAATGATCCTTTTTTTTTTATTATGTTATCAAGACACTTGTATCACTCTGACATTTGTGAATATATATATATTCACAATATGAGAGGTGTTGTAATAATGTAAAATATGTGAAAAATAATGTGTTTTTCGAACAACCTAGTATGAGAGCCTGTTCTAGTACACCCCCAAAACAAAATCAAGACTTTGTAAAAGAGCATAATAGGGCCCCTTTAACCACATGTTGTTGATTTCCAGGCCCGCCCGATGACCCGATACCTGCCCATTCGCAAAGAGGAGTTTGACCTCCATTCCCACATCGAGTCTTCAGGTCACAGCGTGGACACGTGCTACCACGTGATTCTCACCGAAAAGATGTGCAAGGGCTATCTTGTCAAGATGGGAGGAAAGATCAAATCCTGGAAGAAGCGCTGGTTCGTCTTTGATCGCCTTAAAAGGACTTTTTCCTACTACGCCGGTATGTGTACCGCAGCATCGCCTTCCAACATCCTCCTTACTGTGCACTATGCTAATGCCGCTCCGCAAACGTGTCGTTATGCTTTCGTCGCCCTGAGGTTGGGGAAAGAAACGAGGGCAGAACAAAGAGTGGATTGTGGGTGAATCAAGCAGTGGGGGGATACGGATAATTAGTAATTCTTAAGCTCACAGTGGCTGCCATGATTTCCGATAGCCTCGGGTTAGCTAGGGGCATACAAATAACCAGAAGCCTGTCCTCATGCTATCTGATGGTGATGAAATCTGCCGCAATGCTGAGGAAATCGTGCTCATCACCCAGCCGTGGCGCTCGGCAAGGCGTGAGCTCTCACTCTTTATTTCTACGCGGACTGAAAATGAAGGGGTTGCACCGCAGTAACAAGGTCACATCGGTGCTTACCAGATCATTATTCTCCAGGGGAGTGGGGGCTTATTTGTTTTTGAAACCATCGCTGTGCAAAACATGTTAATCAGTAGTTTTGTCTTGTTTTCCAGTAAAAAAAACTTGGAAATGCCTGTTTTCGGGGAACATATTCGAGTTAATTCGTCTTATGATGTTTTCAAACAAAAACATTGCAATAAAATACTTACTAAAAGAACGATTTTTCGCAGGGTGACATCTCTGTTTCTCCCATCCGCAGATAAGCATGAGAGCAAATTGAAGGGCGTCATCTACTTCCAGGCTATCGAGGAGGTTTACTATGATCACCTGCGCAGTGCCACAAAGGTACGAGCCCCTATCGGATAAAAACCCCTCGTATAAGCACAGCTCACATCTCCCGATGTTTTTCTGCTCTGCACTCCTGTTGCACCATTTCATTTGATCTTTTTCTGTTAGCTTCTTTCTTCTCTTTTGTCTCTTATGCTGTAACTCTGCTGTCAATATTCCCCACACTTCTTTTGCTTCATTCTTTTGCTTTGCCAACTGTTTTCACAGAAAGGATTTTTCAATCTGAATTTGACAAACATACGTATCGCTCTTCACCACTATCACCCTATCCTGCATGTTTGCTTAGAGGAAATTGCTCTAATCCGTGCATTTTTCACACACTTACTCCCTTGTGACTTATTAACATACCTCGTCTTGTATTGTTTTGAATAACTGGACTACTTGCACCTTCAGTGGATATTTTTTTGTGCAGTTACTGAGGATGAGAGTATAATGTAATTGACCTGTATGCGTTTCCCTTAAGTGTTTCTTTACTACTCCCACCTGTGGTGAGATACTAAGTGTGTGTATAACGTAATAGCCCCACAGAAGCAGTTGTGTGGTGTATTATACGCCATCAGGTTCATGCTGTATAATGTAATAGGTTAACAGGAAGCTGTAACATAATTTACTCCTTGACAGTGTCAGAATCATTTGAAGAGATTTGTTTGCCCATTGCATGAATGGAGTGCTCTTCAACAATGAGTGTTTTGGTGAGGAGAACTAATTATCACATTTTAACAAGCACCTCCTGCTCAACAACTGTATTCAAATTAGAGGTGCTAATAATTAATACTTTGTTATTAATTAAATGGCATGACTTTCGATTAATCCACTTTAGCTCAAGAGAATTCGGTAATCATCTGGGAAATGTGCAAACTGTGTGCACGCTGTTGCTTGTGCTGCATGCGACGTAGGAGCTTATAAAACATGTTCAAAGTAATCGTGCACATTTACAATAATAGTGTGTTAAAGTATAATGTGAGAACAAGCTGAGTTAAGTAGACTTATCAACATTTAAAAAAGAGGATAAAACATTTCCTATCTTTTTTTTTTAATTGTTGACATCAAAGTAATAAGAATAAACATGCTGACCACAGTGTGATAAATTATTGAATACCGACAGCATGAAGCCATTAATTTCAATAGATATTTAGAAATATCTACAACATTACAAAAAACATCAATTTTACTACATCAAACATTAACTTAAGTTCAAAATCCGATCTAAAATATTATATGAAACATATGTGTATATAAGGTCTGAAATATTACATGAACCACATAATAAAATTTGTGCATTATCCATACATGTTGTTATGATTATTAATACTTTTCAAATTAGCAAATTATATTAAACTATACCAATTGGATTCATACTAAATATATGCATTAAAGTACTTATAATAATAGCACATTTCTTATATTTATTTATTAGCATATTATTACATGTATTTATTATTATATTCATTAGGATCCATAGTTTAAATATCTAATGTATAATTTATTTTTTTAATTATTATTATTATATTTAGCATAATCACTTTAAATGTAGTTTGACTAGTTGACTGTAGTTATTAAATATTTGCATTATAAAGTATAAACATAAATAAAACCAATATATTATAAGATTAGAAATAAGACTATTTTAACTTTATTATAATGTCTTGCAAATTATATGATTCACATAATAAATTGTACAGGCAAAATAATTTTAACCGCAGTAGCCATACACATTATTAATAATGCTTGGAAAATTATGAAACTATATTAAATTAAAATATACCAGTTGGATTCATTTTAAATTTAAATGCATTGAAATACAGAACAAAAAAAGCAGTGCATTTCTTATGTTTATTTATTTCTTTAAATTATATCTATTTGTATAGTGGTTTTAATTGTAGTTGAAATAGTGCATGTGGTATTTGGCGTCCTACACGTGTGATTAATTCATTGCATTTCAATGAAAATCAATTTGTAAAAATTCCTGAAAACTGACATCCCCTAATGGCTAAATATGAGATAATGCATATGCCTCAATAACTGAGTAGTAGAGAGACTCCATACGTGGCACCCTCACTGATCTGAGTGTGTCTTTTTGATCGCAGAGCCCCAACCCCTCCCTGACCTTCTGCGTGAAGACCCACGACAGACTGTATTACATGGTGGCCCCGTCCGCAGAGGCCATGAGGATATGGATGGATGTGATAGTGACAGGAGCCGAGGGCTACACGCAGTTCATGAACTGAGACAAAACCCACTATACGGAATGATACGGAAACCATTCGGCAGGGAGACTTCAAATGACCCAGACCTGTTATTCCCAACGAGAGGAAAAAATTATTTTGTTACTTCCTTTTTTTCTTCTTCTCGACTTTCCTGAAGATGTTATATATTCACTCAGATGCACAGACAGATATCCACCAGAGGCTTTCCACGTCTGCCTGGATTGAAAAAGGGAGAAGACGAAAAGACCCGGTGAACCAAACCTGCAGGTGGTGGCTCACTCACCATCAACGAAAATGCCTTTTTGCCATCAGATATTTTTCAGTTGCAGTTTAGTTTATGTTGTCTGGATGCGCAGAAACATGACTTTCCTTTGTAAAGTTTGTCCCTCGATTTGTCTTTTCAAACGTAATGGGAAAAATGACAAATGCCATCAAGCCATTCTGGAATAGTATTGCACTGCATACTTGATGGGATTGACTGACACGGAATGACTAGAGGATATAAATGAACTGCAGTACATTTAAATTATGTTTTAAATTAAATGGATCATTACATTCACATTTAAAGATCCGATATCACAGAAACAAAGACTTAATTCACCAAAGCTCACCTACCAGCTCAGGAGTCTATATTTATTGTAGAGGGACATCAGCGACTCCTGTCCAACTTTATCCCACTGTGTCTCTGTGTTGCCAGCTCATTCTTTTAGATTCAGAACCACAAATGCATGCACACACACACACACACCACATACAACAGTAGAGTCTATTTGCCAAGTCCTGACAACTTGATCTTGTGATTCGACTCCCTAGGGAGGCAGCCATCACCTATCACTGCCAGCCTACGAGAGTTTGGAATTATTGCCACAAACAAGAGAAAAAGAAACAACATCATAATCATGCAGTGCCTTGATAATGACCCATATTTGTCACTTTTAGCATCTGAAATATTACACTAGTGAAAAATACTGTAGCTGGAATCACAGTTAAGGTGCGGCCACATTAATGAAATTTTGAGAGTAAAAAAAGTCGATTGTCAATTGTATAGTGATGTATGAAGCACAGCTCACACAGAAGTCACGTTCAAAACAAGCAAGTTTTCCGGCTTTCAATGCAGCGAATTTGAATCGGTTTAGAAATCTGCTTTGGAAATTCTTTTGTCATCATTGAAATTCCAGATTGCATGGATGCCTATTGAAATTCGCCTGGATTTCACCTGCGAAAATTCACAGAACAACAGTAAATTAGTGCAAATTTTGTGAAAATTACACAGGCAAAAAAAAATCATTTCAATTGTCTACTGTCAATAGTGTAGCGGTGTTGCTCAGCATGGTGAATTCACTTAGCCGACTTGAATCAGTTTCGAAATCTGCATTGGGAAACCTCTCGCCATCATGCGAAATTCCCAATTACACTGATGCCTATTGAAATTCGCCTGCCAAAATTCATTGACCAACAGTAAATTAGTGAAAAGTTTGTGAAAATTGCGTAGGCTGTCAATAGTATAGTGATGCATGAAGTACAGCTCACACAGAAGCCAAACCAGGAAGCATTATGTTGGTTGAATTCATGTGACCATCTGAACCCGTGGCGAAAACTGAATGAGAAATCTTTCATTGTCATGCTAAATTCCCAAATACATGGGTGCCTATTGGAAATGACTGGATTTTGTCTGCAAACATTTGCTAAACATCAGTAAATTAGCGAAAATTGGCAAAAAATGGGCAAAAGTTCTAAAGGCAAAAGAGGTCAAATGTTTACTGTATATAGTATAGCGATGCATCAAGCACAGCTCGCAACTGAAGTCTTTTTTTAAACCAAGCAGCTTTATGTTGGCTGAACTCACATGACCAGCTGAACCTGTTGTGAAATCTGGGCAGGGAAATCTTTCGCCGTCACACGAAATTCCAGAACATGTGGATTCCTATCGAAGTGACTGGATTTCGCCTGCAAAAATTCACAGAGCAACAATAAATGTGACCGCACCTTTATTCCATGTGATACATAGTGGGTTTTACTGTTCTAAGAGATTGTGAACAGACACATACTGTAATTTAAAAAAAAACATGACCTATTTAAATCAGTCCGATACTGCTTTAATACAATTTAAGAAGCTATTCAAAGGGTTTAGTAGCTGTTCAAGTTTTATTGATGTTTTACAGGCCTTGTGTTAATTTGGGGAAAACTAAATGTTTATTTATGCTACGACACAGTTAAAAATGACCAACGTGTTCTGCTTTCTCCCGAAACCAAACTGTATGTTCAAATGAAATCTACAGAGAATTTAAATCAACACGAATAATTAGTCGTCATTATACGTGCAAGATGTCTCGAGTACTATCACAGAACTAGGTGAAAACAGTGTTGTAAAATGTTGAACATAAATACACTCACGGTTTTCCTTATTCATGGTGTTTTTGTGTTTATTTGCCTAATTATAATCCATGCTAACACATAAACATGGACTTGCGGAAAAGACTGTAGCTCAGAGGTCACAACTAAACTCGGACTTCAGATGTAAAAGGGCAAGTAACCCTCACTGCTGTAATTAACACTGCAACGCAAGCAGAAGTCTTGCATCATAGCTACTACTGTGTTGTTTTCATGACACCAGACAAGAGAGCAGCATGCTAAATTAAAAACCTACTGCTAAGAAGGGCTACGATAAGGTTGACCCAAGAAAGTTTGGAGACCAAGTTTGTTTTGGTTGGACAACACCCTAGTTAAACAGTTTCATAAATTAAGCTTGAAATAAATCACTTAAAGCCATATTTTAGAAGTACAATATGCTGCTAGCAGTGTGTGAAAATACTCAGTATTTTCATAGTTAAAATATTGCATACTCTTTGAGGGTGTTTACACAAAGTTCAGTTGTCTTGGTTCTTTTCAGGGTCTGCAGGTTTTATGAAAGTAAATGCAAATGTCTACATTTTCTGAAATCTGAGCAAAATGACATAAGTCTTGTTTTCTGAGAACAAACATCCAATGGGCTCAGAAAAATGAACAGTTCAAAGGGAAAAAGAGTTTTAATGCATTTCAGATATTTATTCTTGTTTTAAGCATAAACTCATTTGATTCTATTCCAGTTCTCAGAAAACATCTCAAGTAAATGTATTTTAATTTAAGGATGTTTAGATATTTGTATTGGAAAATATGCACTAATTTTTTTTTCCAGTGCATGCAACATTTAATGACTTTATAAATGTAAGACTTTCTGCTCCGATTTAAGACCTTGGAAAAAAAAAAAGTTGTTTTTGCGCACGTTTAACAAAATGCATGTTTTCTCACTGTTATATTTTGTCTTGGAATTTATGATCATTTTAACGCTAGATATTAGGTGAAAACTGCCTTTCAAATAGTGGTTATTACTAAATACGGAGCAATTTGCTGTATGGTAGCCCTAAAAACTATTTTAAAGACATATTTTCACTTGGAATTTCTAATCATTTCAACACTAAATACGGGAAAACTGCCTTTCAAATAATGGTTATCACTAAATATACAGCTGAAAGGCAGCCCTAAAAAATCTCTTTAACTTCTCAGTTTGAATTCTAGTAAGTTGAGCAATATGTAGGCAATACATTGAACTGTTTGGGGTGTACTGTTCACTTTAGTCTCTCTGAAGTCAGTTGTTTGCTGATGCAATTTGTTGAGATCATTTACTGAAATTATTTGGTAATTCCTGGAACGCTGTGAAACTGACACACCGCTTTAGTGGGCAGCAGTAGGAGAATATTCTCAATTAGCATTCTAACATGATATTACTGAAGTTAACAGGCGTTTTAAAAGATGAATTCTTTTTGCTAAGCAGAGATATCAAGCATCTGAGTGGTTTGGAAACAGTTTTTGACTGTGCTACTTTTAAACACTCAAGGGGGGAACAGTATACAGATATTATTGGGTGTTACAACAGCAAACAAAAAGTCTGAAAGCAGCTTTCATGTGTTGGCGATAAAATGTTGTTTAAAACTTCAGTTACTGAACCAGTAGAAGAGTTGAATCTGTCCACACCAACATATCAGTTCTACTTCTACTAAAATATCAAGTGCTTTGAAATGTGATGTTTTGGATTACAGACAGGAAAACTGACTATACTATTGTAAACATCTGCAATTGGCAAATGCGTGCATTTTTTACAAAATACATAATTGGGTTGGGAAAGGTTTCAAACTTGAAATTAGGATTTAATATTTGACTAATATGCAATAATATTAGGTATAGCTTATTCTTTTAAGATCCATACATTTGCGTATGTACAGTAATAATAAATCTAGATAAATAATAACAGGACACAAATGTTTCTGATGCAGCAATGGTTTATTAAACAAATAGTTTAATAGCAACTAAAGTGCAGAATTTTTTTATTTAAGAAAACAGTAAGGTTTTACAAGTAAGTGATAGAAAACAGAAAAAGTGTCAGTATTAAATCTGTTTCGCCATATATTCCAGTGTACAGTTCTTCAGACGTTAGCACTTCAGATCATCGCCTGAAAAACAATGTCAATCAACCTTTTATCAAGCAACATAACATATATCTATTTATATCATAATATAACATTCATACCTGTCCTTTATACATCATTCTAAAATGCTGATTTGGTGCTCAAGAAAAAAAAATCTCATTATTATCAATGTTTTTTTTCAAGATTCTTTTATGAATAGAACGTTCACAAGAGCATTTTTAATATAACATGTAAATGTCTTTATGGATTTGGGAATTCAAATTTGAGAGTACAATTATTAAAATCTATAATGGCGTTTTAGATCAAATTGACAATTACTGTACTTACAGTAGTGTTTATGCACATGGGGAGGTGTAGTCAATCACAGACAGTTCACCTGGAGGAATAGAAACACAACCTAGGTTTTTTTGTGCACAACACTGTTGAGCTCGTCTCAATAAAATGAAAATGCATTATGGAAAGATTAAATACAGGCTCGTAAATCACAATTATGCAACCTTTATATCATGATGTCACTAAGATTTATCAAAAATTAAATTCTTAAACGTTAAAATGGAAATAGGTTTTCCCATTTTTTGTTATGATTTATTTATTATATTTTGCTGGGTTTATAATAAAAACCCTATATCGTATTTTCTTTCAGACTTTTCAGAGTGCACAGTGATGAAGAAACACATACTGATCTTGTAGTAGTCATAGACGATCACTACAGCTGGTTTCAGGTTCTGCACCTGTACTTCCTGCATGAGCTGCAGGCTGATGGACTTCACCTGATTCTTTTTCAACTGGAATAGAAAGAAAGTTATTACATTATGATTACGGAGAGACTTATTTTCTATAGGGTATGAATGTGTTAAAGGAATAGTTCACCCAAAAATGAAAATTAGCTTAAAAATTAGTCACTCTTGTGCTATCCAAGATGTAGATGAGTTTGTTCTTTCATAGGAACAGTTTTGGGGAAATGTAGCATTACTTCACTTGCTCATCAATGGATCCTCTGTGGTGAATGGGTGCCGTCAGAATGTGGATCCAAACAGTGATAAAAACATCACAGTAATCCACATAACTTTAGTCCATCAATGTCTTGTGAAGTAAAAAGCTTATTGTTTGTAATAAATTCATCAAGACATTTTTAACTTTTGCTTCTGGCTAAAATACACAAATCAAGAACTATTTAAAAGTGAAAAAAGTTCTAAACAAATATGTCATTGGATTTTAATGTGAGAGGACAACAGGGGGTGGATTTTTTTCATTAGAGGAAGTGTTATATATATTATTATATATATTATGGATTATGGACTCAAATTTTGGCCAGAAGAGACCATTTAAAGTTATGGTTTGATGCATTTGTTTCTTACAAACATGCACCTTTTCACTTCACAAGACATTAATTGATGGACTGGAGTCATGTGGATTACTTATGGATTATTGTGATGTTTTTATCAGCTGTTTGGACTCTCATTCTGACGGCACCCATTCACTGCAGAGGATCCATTGGTGAGCAAGTGATGTAATGCTACATTTCTCTAAATCTGTTCCGATGAAGAAACAAACTCATCTACATCTTGGTTGGCTGGAGAGTGAGTACATTTTAAGTCAAATTTCATTTTTCAGCTTCTTGTTTAAGTAAACCAGGTCAGTTTTATTGTCAGAATATCAGTGACCCGTCCCAAAAATAAGTTGAACCCCTCAAGGTATTTGAATAAAACAAAATAAATCTGAATAAAACATTTACACTATCCAAATAGAAAATGACACGATCCTCATCCAGATCCACACGTTTGATGGTGGGGTCTTCCCTCAGCTGTGGAGACAGAGGAGCGAGTGAGAACGAATCAAACGCTGGCTACACAACTTGAGATCAAAAGAGGACCAGAGCCCTTCAAGTGTCACTCACAGCCTGCAGAGACGTCTCATCCGGCTTAAACCCAGACAGGAACCTGACGTTAATGATCACCATGTTGGTCTCCATTCGTGTGCCGTCATACCTGTCACACAATTGCTCCAACAATCACAAACAGGTTCACAACCACACATTGTTCTCTATGTAGTCTGACAGACAACAAAGAGTCTATTAGGCCATAAAATAGGTTGAATCTTTATTCATTCTTTCTTTATAAAGTCAAGTGGGTATGTTACTAATTCATTTAGCAATATCATTGCAAGTAGAATTTGTTACAGCTGTCTGCAGGACTTATCGACATACATTTTTATGTAAATTTTTATAGACATTATACATATACATATATATATATATATATATTATGGTTTATATACCATTCAAAGTTTTTTTTAATAATTTAATCAAAAATACAGCAAAATCAGTAATGATTAGTACAATGTTTTATATTTGATTTAAATGCAATTTATTCCAGTGTTGGCAAAGCTGAATTTTCAGCATCATTACTCCAGTCTTCAGTGTCACATGATCCTTCAGAAATCATTCTAATATGCTGATTCGAAGCTCAAGAAATATTTCTTATTAATATTTATGTTGAAAACTGTTGTGCTTCTTAATATTTTTGTCGAAACTGTGATACTTTTTTCAGGATTCTGTGATGAATAGAAAGTTCCAAAGAACAGCATTTATTT